TACGTTAATACCAACGAAAGAAAATAAATATATATGCATAAGCAGACCACTGTCTAAATATCGTCGTACCCGTATCTGCATCTGAGAGGAGGGAGTGGAAGCCACACACCAACTTTCACACACACTCTCACACACACACACACACCCAGACAAGGGGAAAAAAATAAAAATAAAAAAAATAACTGCAGAAACCAACTTACTTCTTCTACATTAATGTTTTCCTTGGCGCTTGTTTCAAAGACTCTCACACCAACAGATTCCCCAAAGCGCTGAGCATCCTGGGAATCCACCTGCCTTTTTGAAGGGTCATCATTCTTGTTTCCCACTTAAAAAGCAAGCAAAAAAAAACACACTGAATTTTCTAGAATAATCCCTTCTTTTCAGATCAATACATTATATTTCAAAAGCAAAAGCTGATTAATGTCCGTTATTGTTATGATTGTTGTGTCTGTGTCCTCCCCCCTTTTTTCTTGTATAATCACGGTAGTAGGGCGGGTGAGTTCGCAGTGGCCACACTGCAATTGAATATCTTTACACTGTAACTTTAATTTAAAATAAAGTTGTCCTCTGAAGAGGGGGGTGGTGGTGGGGAGAAAAAAAAATACATCACATCGCTTCATTGGAAGAAAAAAAATAAAGCAAAAGTTCACCTAGGATCTTGCTGACAGTGTCACAATTTTGAGAGATCTCATTCAGCCACCTCTTGACATTTACAAAGGACTCTGGATTTGTGACATCATAAACAATAATCACACCATGAGTGTTCCTATAATACCTAGAAGAGCAAGAAAAGAAGAATCAGTCGTAAATGAAAGATGACATGAGTTTGCAAACCGAGAACATGCGTTTAAAAAAAGCATGAGAACAATATGAACTCCCAGCCTTTCCTATTACACAATGTAAAGCGATAGCTTCCTTTTTTGGTTAAATGTTTAAAAGTTGTTTTTTCCCCTTTGGTTTTCCTCACAGTAAGATCAGGGAAAATTAAGAAAATACTTGTTTCTTTTATATCAGTTTTTCTAACCCACGATGTAAAGACATGAAGATGAGAAAAACATCTGGACATCAATGCAATGCAGAAGAATGGCAAATGGCAAATCAGATTTATTCTATATTGCATGCCCTACCCACTCCAGAGGTTTGTCTACAAAACAATAAAGCCTGACTGAAATTCCGAGCACATCATCAGAACAGATTTATAGCATATGTTAACACAAGTGAAGAACTAATACTCGCTAATAGGGAAAACCGCGAGAATTTGTTCCACACCTATAGCTAAGAAATGCATATTTAGTTATCCTATTCACAATACAAAATTACAGACAATACTGCAATTACAGGCCCTAAGATTTTTTACTGAGGGATTATAAAAGGAGTTGAGAGTGATTACGTGGAGGTGATTGTTCTGAACCTCTCCTGTCCAGCAGTGTCCCATATCTGCAGCTTGACTCTCTCCCCATCAATGTCCACTGTGCGGATCTTGAAGTCGACTCCTATTGTGGTGATATAGCTGCCTGGATAGAACATACATTGACAGGACTGCAGGCAGTATGGTGTCTAAGCAAGAGAGGAACTTAAGAATTTTTGCTATACCCAAATGGGCTAGATCAGTAAAAATGTAGTCCAACATGCACTTCCTTACTAGCCAGTGGGCTAGTATTCAGTTTCTGTACTCTCCCTTCATCTAAATGACCCCCCTCAGGTGAGTGGGTGAGTTTAATTTCCAGCTCTGTGTCTAAGGACGTACTTTTGACCTGAAGGTTGGAAGCTCATACCCCTGGATGAAGCCCTATTGGCGCTTCCTTGTCCAAAGCATTTAATTACTTCACCCTTTCATACAGCTGGGTGTTTAACAAAAATGATGTCTTGCAATCATATATAATCCAAAAAACAAACAAGAGATTCAATGATTTATATACCATTGAAAAACAAAAGCAATATTTTAGACTACAGCCATGTTTCCTGCATTAGAGCTGATGGACGAACAGGGACTTAATAATCACCTGAGAAAGTGTTATCTGCAAATCGTAGTAACAGACTGCTTTTCCCCACATCTGAAAAGGACAAAGAACAGCAACAGCAAATGAAAAAATGGATAAAAACAAGTATCAGCTAATAAAACTATCAAACCGTTTTCTGCTCTTTGCCTAGAGTATACTGTGCCAAAGTACTAGTTTTACTTCTTTAAATTTTTCCAGTATGCTTTCTGAGCACAATACATACAAACATTTACAAATGTTAGCCAGAAATTAATTGATATGACAAAGCAGCAAGGAATGATACATCAGCTACTAAGACACTAGTGGGTAAAATTTTTAAAATTCAACAGAAAACAACATTTAATGCACTTTAACAAAGTTAACTTTAATCTATTATGCACAAGATGGTGAACTCTTGTAACTTTTTTGTAACTTAATAACCTAAGAACTAAGCTGATCTGGAATTTCTGCTAGTTAAGTTGCTGTGCTTGTTGCCATGCTTAAAATAATGTTAGTATAAATAAAACACACTAAAGCCTAGGCACTAGCCTTGTGACACAATAAAAAAGCTTTAGCATTAATAATTCTGCCCCCTTCAACATTAAACTTGACCCACTCTGCTTATACCATCTAAATTTACCAAACAATAAAAACCAATACAAGAATTCCTACAAACTCCAAACTACTTCACATGAAAGGGCTGTATTCACTCCCAGACTTAAAACACTAACTGGAGTCTCCAATGATGAGCAACTTGAAGAGATGGTTGTAATCCTTAGTGGCCATTCCCCCTCATCAAAGACAGTTCATCCACAGAGAGGAATTCCAGTTGTGTATGATTCCAAATCCAGTGCCTCCTGACCTCCAGTTCAGACTACTTAATCTACAGCCCCATGCTACAATGGCAATTCTGCTTAGCACTCAAGTTGTCCATTTCTGTGCATTCCCAAAACACTGCTGAGAAGTGCTACTTCCTGTTTTCTGTTGAGGTAAATCTATTGCATTTTCTCCACATCCACGTATTAACTTCCCACGCTGCTTTTCCCAGTTTCAGCAAGACAGACAAAGGTTCCAGTTATCGCATAAATGTGATCCATTGAAATTCATATGCTGCTTATTCCAGTTACGGTCATCAGTAATTTGTCCAACAATACATCCTAAATTCTCCAGTCTTCAGCTCTTCCCAGCTCATACCAGTCATCCAGGCCTCAAGGTTTTCAACCAAAGATGTGTTTTCCACATATCATTCAACTTTGTAAGTGGAAGAACTGAAACTCTTACATTACATTTGTTTTCCTGTCATACCAAAAATAAAAAGTGCGTTTTAAATTCCCAGCAGTTATTGTACATGAAAGTCTAAACTTTTATCTCTCTTCTTTGTTTTCTCTTCTCTTTCTCTCCTTCTTTTGACTTCAGTCATCCTACAATCTCTGGAATGATCACAATCTCAGCGACCCCGAAACAAAATGTACTTTAACAGGCTTTCTTGTCTTCCTCCATTCCGGTTAACAAATGGTTAGTTCCGCGCGTCTTTCCTCCACTGCAGGGCGGATATGGATGAAATTGAGCTTCTTCTTTCGCTCAATTTGTCAATCCCTCACTTCTGTGTTTCCTGGACAAGTATAACAAGCCGATGTTAGCACTGATAATGGTCACTGCAGGAATGCAGAACAGATATGATCACATATGTATTTAAAAAATATGGCAACCACTGGGTAACACCAGAAACATTTTAACTCTCCGTTCCTATTTTGTAGGTCTTAACCAAACGTCGCGATAAACGAACGATTTCTATTTTTTGTAACTGTTGGCAATAAAATACTTTAGGACAAATCTGTGCGAACATGACAGGCTAATACTGCCATTCTGTTAGAAAGCAAAGTTAACGTAATGTTTAAGTTAACACGGCAACAGAACTTTTTGATGTCGATCGTCAACTAGCAACACTACGCACGTATTTTCCTGCCTGGTATTAAGTCAAATAACAATACATCGTTCCGACACGGACACCGAGCTGTTCGTTAAATATTTAACAAATGGCGTTACTGAGGAGACACTTTATAACCTTTCTTTAGAAGTAACACTGCGGTCGTCGGTACGTCACCGTCCGGATAAGAGACAGGAAAGCAGCGCTGCTTTTTCGCGTAGGACAGTCGGGAGAGGCCTGCGGGGAAGTTCGGGCTTCGGGGAAAAGGCAGAGCGGTCCGTAGAAGGACGCCGCAGGCCACACCTGAATGCCGAGTCACTCACAGCAACCCCTGGCCGCCCGCCTGATCCCTCCCTCTTCCCCTCAAATCCCTTCCTGAGTCAGGCTTTCTTCTGAGCCCTGTTCCACAGTCCAGCTGACCACTCCTCTTCCCTTCCCTTTGTTTTCCCTTGCTAGTCATATTCGCCACTAAGCGCGTCTCATTATTGTTCATATGTAGGCCTCTGTGATTAAAGTGTAACATTTATTTCAAGAGCATTGCACCTCAAGATTTATATTGCTTAATGCCCTGACACGATCATCTTTTTAAAAGAGCGTTGTATTTTGAGGCTTTTTATATTGTTTAGTTTATGCTTTGACTATTTTCGATTTTTTTTTTGTTTAGTTTAATTTTTTGGCGATCTGTTATAAAAAGGGGACAAAATATTTGCGTCATTCCTTGTTTGTTACACCGGTTACTAAATTTCATTTCTTTTCAACAGTAAAGTACTAAACTGACAAACACTATACGATGATTAATGTAACCAGGGCTCCATTTGTGCCGGATTCTACCGGAACGCGTTCCTATTCCCATTCGCGAATCGCATGCTCCCCCCCTCCCCACGAAATGTGGCTGTAAAAAGTTTACTTACAAGTAACCACCTAGTCGGTGGGGAAAGATCCTGCAAATTGTCATGTAAGTGGAATGTGCAATAAATGAATGGGTGTAGTTTCGATCCAACATGTCACAACAAAGACTCAGAGCGTTCAAGTAAAAAAAAAAAAAACATTAACTTTCACATTGCCAGGTGATCCATTCAGTACTAATAAATACTGAATGGGTTGGTGAGTATGGGACTAGTATGGAGTAGAAGCCAAGATGACAAGACTTTCTGGGAAATACAGTGCTGTATTACTAGTTGTTAGGAGCCAGTCACTGAAATGTGCTAGGTCCCTGTTGTAACTGTTAGAATTTTTCACTATTACTGCACTTTATGCCAAAAAAAAAGCGTTTTGACTAGTAACTGTTGATGGGGGCCCTCTTGACTTGGTTCCCGGCGGCTTTGACTGGGGAGTTGGGGTGGTGAGGTATCGTTTTATTTCTTCTTCTTCTTCTTCTTCTTCTTCTTCTTCTTCTTCTTCTTCTTCTTATTATTATTATTATTATTATTATTAATTTTCATTTTGTTTTGTTTGTTTTTCTTAGTTTTTTCTTGTGCGACAATCAGTGTGGTCTTTTTTCTTTATTTCTCCCTCTCATACTTCTTCCCTCATCCTTGTTCTCTGTCTCCCCTAACCTCTGCTTGTTGTCTTCTTTACATATATATGTATAAAAACTTGAAATTGAAATAAAAAATAAAGCAGTCCACAAAAAGGGCGTGGGGGGTGGTGGGTTGGTTGAGGGAATAAAACAAGAAAAAAAGAAAAATTCATATGCTACAAATTATGTCCAGTCTTCAACAAATTTAGCACAGATGATCTTCGGGCCAAGCTTCACAAAACATAATGATGGAAGAGGATTAGGGCCACCAGGAAAATATTATTTGAGTTCTGACTTTAATGTCAGAATTCTGACTTTTTTCTCAGGATCAAGACAGGAGTATAACAACCAGGAAATGAGTTAAGCAGAGGGGGTCTTCTGGGTCCCAGGATGTTGGGCAGTGAACCAGGGCCTTCCAGGTTCTGAAGGGTCAGTGGGAGCAGGTGGTGCCCGGAGACCCATAGAGCTGGGACTGAAGGGTGCTCGCCAATTCTTTTATGCAGAATTGTTCAAGTTCAGTCAGATTCTGTGGTGAGCAGCAATGGGCTGCTCTCTGCAAGTGCATCCACAGAGTTTATTTTCGATTTAAGTCAGGGCTCTGACTTGGCCACTCAAGGACATTCACCTTCCTATCCTTAAGTCACTGTGTTGTTCTTTTAGTGGTATGTTGTCATGTTGGAAGGTGAATGACCTACCCTTCTTCAGCTGTCTAACAGAGACGCGCAGGTTGTCCTCAAGAATTTGAGTGTACTTGACAGCATCTATTTACTCTTCAATCTTGACCAAATCACAGTTCATGTTGAAGAGAAACACCCCCACAACATGATGCTGCCCCCACCATCGCCCAAGTGTGTTTTTGCATAGAACAAACGAGACTGAATGATTGTCAATTGATGTCAGGTGGGGAAAGTAGCCTAGTGTTTGATCTGGCATCTGATTGGTTGCTCAGAGCAAGTTTAGATTGGTACATTCTAAGAGGCTGATCACTTCACAAAACCAGGTATTTCACTAATTTTAATAATTGTTTAATAATTGTTTTAATATTTTTATTTTTAATGTTATTTTCACATTGGTAATGAGGGCTATAATGTGTGCATACACCTAAAAATTGGACTTATTACTACTTTATTTTACGGGGTGTAATATGACAAAAGGTATAGATTTTCTATGGGTATGTATAAAGGTCAGGCATTCTACACTCTTGGAGCTGTCACCGCCAAAGCTTCTGTTCTTAATTAAAAACTCTAACAAGGGCAGTTTATGTACTGTGATGGTGTTCTGAAACCTTGGCAAGGAAAGGTAGTTTTGATATAGGTCTAAATGTCACAACCTGTCTGGTCTATCCCCCGTATGGCCAGCAGGGGTCACTGCTGGCCCTCTGGAACCCTCTTAATTCTTCCCAGATGTATTCTGCTCATTATCCCCAACCCTAATGTGGTAACTCTAGAATTGTGTTAGTCCCTCATTAGTCTTGTATATATGTGCTTCCTAGTCCTGTATTCCCCAGTTCTGTCATTGTTCCCTGTCATTGACCCAGTTCCCACCAGGTCCGCAGAAGGACCTGTCCTATTCTCTGTTTTATACAAATAAGGTTCCCATTCATGGTTCTTTCTGCCTTCCCTCACCCTTGAAACCCAATAAAATTAACTCTCAAAAAGCCCCAACAGCCTGTACCTCTGCCCTAGCTTTGATCATCTGGCTGACTGGATAACCCACGTGCCTTGGATCAAAAGACTAAAGGGGTCACCACAGCTGCAGGATCCACCGGAGCCACCTTCCCTACTTGCAGAGGACTTCAACCTCCTTGACAACCACCTAGAGTGGAGGTGTGATCCCATAAAATGTTGGATCCCTGAGGTCAAAGCGCTCCTCCTTGTATGCGAAGAAAGTGCTGTCAGGACTCACCCCAGACATGGATCCCCAGGAGGTGGAGAAAGTCTGGCATCTAATGAAAGAAATGCAACTGCTATTTGAGGGAGGGCAATGTCATCTTCCAGGTCAGCCCACCGCTTCTCCACAGTGAGACACGGTTCAGCCCTTGGCTGTCCTTCAACAGGGTTTGGCTCCACCCACTGGCTTCCCACAGGTTGAATCTGCTGTACCGTCTGCCGGCTTCCAGCAGCCAGAACTCACTGTTCTTCATGCTGCTCCCCACCGCTTGCCACAGCAGTCCAGCATGCCGCCTCCCTGCCCTTGCTGCAGTGGTCCAGCATGCCAGCATGCCGCCTCCCTGCCCTTGCCGCAGTGGTCCAGCATGCCAGCTCCCTGCCCTTGCCGCAGTGGTCCAGCATGCAGCTACCTGCTCTGGCTGAGGAAGGAACAGGCAGAAGAAGCTAGCTGGGCACGCATCTCCAGTTTCGCCTGAACTTCTGCAGCCAGAGCCCATCTATGTCAGATCCAGGTCTATGTCTATTTCGGTGGCTGTGTCTCGCCTAATATCCCACAGGAAACCTCAGTAGACACAACTGTAGCTTTATTGGTACCACTAAGCACCCTGATTGCATCCTGCTTGCCTCCAGTTGCCCACTGCTGCACCCTGTTTTCCTGGCAGTCCCTTGGTGTTCTTTGTACCTGCGGCGCTGTTGACTCCCGTCTCATCTCCTGGCTTCCTGATGGCACCCATCTTGTCTCCACCTCGTCTCCAGGTACTCCGTCGGTACCCACCCCATCTCCTAGTTCCTCAGCGATACCCTGGTCACTGCCCGGCCAACTCCCTGGATGCTGCCAGATTGGGTTGGATAAACCGTGGGCCCCCGCCTCTGCCCGAGGCATATGCCAACCTGGACCTGAAGTCCTGATGCAGCCACCGAGGGGGAGATGGGGCCACACTATGTCATCTGTGATTTGAAGTCTAGTCAGTCGATCAGTCGACATGATTTCACTGGTTGTAGAGACAAATTCAAATAAACTGGGTTTCAGGGATTAATGGCCTTATTTATGGTGTTAAATAATTATTTACAGTCATAACCTTTGTGAAATATCATATTCTAACATCCTTAAATGTGTTTTGATATGTAACAATATATGCTTTCATAATATCGTAGGACGTACAGTATGTTATCACTCCTTCTACCATTTAATCAAAGACATACGTTTTCAGCAGTAACAACCCTTGTTGAATCTTCTCCAAATTTTGCACAGATGATATTCAGAGAAAGCCTCCTGAAAGTTTTCTGACAGATTTTTTTATTTCAAAATCATTTGTCCGTTACAGCCTATCAAATTCAGCAGTGAAGATACCAAGCATGAAGTGGACTGATATCTTGGCCTATCTTTGGTCAATTGACATGAAATTTGCTGTGAGTGCAAGTAACCATACCTTTGACAAAATAACATGAAGTTGTTCCCATTGCAACCATGCCCTGGTAGTCTGCTTGGTCCCATTTTTGCTGCTTGCAGTTATATTATGTACTTGTCTTTCTTTTTTCCCCATCAGCAGTCAAAAACACAACAGCTCTTTTACATGAATTTGTTTTTAGCTATTATTATAATTTAAAAAAAAAAAAATTTCAGTTCTACAATAATTCCAAGTGATATTTAACAAAAACTCAAATGCATCTTTAAATCTTGGAAAACTGTTGCTTGACCACAAAAAATGTCATAATTTTTTCTCCTTTCAGTACTGTTACTCAGAACCACAATTATTCTTCCTGCTGACACATTCTTGATTATGAAAAATATGCTTATTTATACAAACATTATTTATATACATTGTGATTACCAGTCTTCTATTTGCTTGATATTTTTGCACAGCAGAAACGGCAGAAAGTATAAACAATATTTATGTTTCTTTTGTCATGCTATATTGAAATTACTGGGCACAACATCGCAGTTTTTCTTCTCTTCATTTATTCTATAAAAACACAAATATTCACTATAGATATCCAGATAACCCAAAAAGAGATTTGGGACATGAAAGCTGTACCCAGAGGACAGTTGCTTTCATCACGCATTTGTGGTTTGGGACATTTCATCCAATCAACTGCTACAGATTTGCTAATTATGGCTTCATGGTTCATTTCCCCATTCTTTAGGATCCAATAGGAATTTCCTTTGAAGAAATACAGATCTCCTAAGAAGCAGGTGAGAAAAAGAAGCTCATTATCACATTAGGAACAGAAGATACAAAGGAATGATTTTATATATTATTATACATAATGTGCCTCAGGTTAGCCAATGTGAGTGTCTTGTTTTTATATCATAATTATTTGTTTTACCATCTCCCCAGCTTATGACACCATCAGGGCCAGAGGGCACTCCTTTCCAGAGGGTTGTCTCACGGGGGTATTGCCCATCCATATTTCTTCCAATCTGCCTTTCATCATCAAAGCCCCAAAATTCCCCATTACTGAACAAGTATGTCTTCCCATTGCGTGCCCACACGAATGCTGCCTCCACTCTCTGCACATTTCTCCCATCAGATGTTTGCATACGCCATTCAGACAGTGGGTGTGGGTAACCAGGAAGAGATATGGTTTCTTTGAAGACCCAGTACTGATTCCCTGTACACAGAAAAAGACAATCTCTTAGTGATATATTCACAAATGTGAGATGCAGATTACACAGTTATTCATAGAATGCTGCTTTCTCACCTATAAAAAAGACAATGTTGCCGTCACTGGTTCTCTCATATACGGCATCAATTTTGTTGGTTTCAGGTGGAAGACCAATCCAGAAGTTTTTTATCAAAGCTGGAGTGAAGGACATTAGCGAACCTGTCGGCCGTACCCGCCAAAAATATGGGCCTAAAAGACAGTAAGATGAATGATAAATGCTAAAATGAATAAGCCGGAAAAAGTATGATAGTGAATATTATTTTCACAGGTTCCTTCAAAGCCCCAAATCGTGAAAATGCTACTCATGAATCTTATATTTTTACATTCGCGAAGAACACACTACTAGTAGGTTACTTTTACCTTTGAAGAAGAATACCTCGCCTCTGATATTGACCACAGCATCAAACCCCCCCTTACAACGATCAGGAAGGGAGGGGTCTGGGCTAAGGAAGGGAAACATGGACAGGGAACCACTGGTCAGCACACTATACACAAGATACAAGACAGCAATATAAACAGACTACAGTCACTTTTACACAAATTTTAACAAACTATGCTTCCAATGTCTTTATTATAACAGGTATACAAGTTCTTGACACCACTGTTGAGTTGGTAGTTATGTGATGTATGTGATGAACGTATTGTGCATTTGCAAAGAAAACTTTGATTTGTTTTATTAATAACACTGCTCACCGTTGTGTTGGTTTTGATGGGGGAGGATTGGGCTGATGTGGCCGATCAGGAATAGGAGGAATCCTGGGATCAGGTGCGACTCTGTCATTCCTTTTCCCTTTTGAGAATCAAAAAAGAGCCAGCAAATATTATACATCTTATTCAATCATTGCATGTATATGATGATGATATGAGACAAAGAATCAGTGTGATCAATATAAATTGAGTAATCAGAGTGTGAAGTACACACTGGGTAACAGACAAAGCCTTCCAATGTTTGGTAGCCCCATACCGTATAGTGCCTGGATGCCCAGCATGTCATCCTTTGGAAGTTTGTAACTATTTATGTCTGTTATTGCTCCTTGGTAATACGGCATCATAATGGACAATTCAGTGGATGAATGCGAGAGTCCCAAAGCATGACCAAACTCATGGACAGCCACTGTAAAGAGGTCAGTGCTGTCACTGTCACCTGAAAGAAATTCATGAATTTAGAATGTTTATACACACTGCATAATTTAATGTGTCATATTGTACCACAAGCATAACTCCAGGGCTATCATTCAAATAACCTGGCTATTGTCTGGACATTTTATACATTTATTTTATACACAGATGTTTTTGTCCAAAGATAGATAGATAGATAGATAGATAGATAGATAGATAGATAGACAGACAGACAGACAGACTGACTGACTTTATTAATCCCTCGGGAAGGTTCCTCCGGAAAATAGCAGCAACAATACACCGGCATAAAAGTACAGTTACACAATAATAAAGTAATAAGTAATACAGTAATAAAGAGTAATAAATAGTGGTGGGATCATAGTAATAATGAATAATTATTGCACAGGTCAGTTAGTAAAATGTCCTTATGTCCCCCCTCCTGTTCCACTTCCTGCCCCCCAGTGAGGAACTGAACAGTTTTGATGGTGTGAGAGACAAAGGGATTTTTAAGTCTGTTAGTCCTGGATTTGAGGAGAAGCATCCCGTCACTGCGCATACTCCTCTGGTTATTAATGACACTGTGTAGAGGGTGCCTGACATTATCCATAAGGGCCAGCAGTTTGTTCAGTATACAAATCAGGATCAGAGTGACTGGCCAGCAGTGATGCAAAGACCTGACCCACGGAGCCACACAGGGCCCCATTTGTTAATATTCAATGTTAGTCCCCAAACAGCATGGAATTATGTGTCAGGAGCTGTCTTTGATAAATGTATTTTCATATATTTTCACTTGTATACACAAGTGTGGGTTTATAATGTATTTTTAGTTTTATATATATATATATATATATATATATATATATATATATATATATATATATATATAAACACACACACACACAGATATCCATCAACCTGTGTCCTATCGAGTAATGTCCAATAATACTTATGTCCCACAAGAGCCTTAATAAAATTAATTGAGAGTTATCCGAAGCAGACAGTGGATTTTAGCGGATGTATTTAACCACGTGTGTGGCATGGGGCAAGAACCAAAACAAACCAATTGTGCAGCCACTATAAAGGTTTAGTTAAATGTGTGTGATATCGTGTCTTATGTTATACTGGCAGTTTGACTTGTGGACAACTTGTACTCACAGACTACCATAAAGCCTATTACATTAAAACTTTGGGTTAAAGGGCCAGTTCACCCCAAAACTAAAAAATATATGTTTCAGAGGGCTTTATTGCTAACTATCGAACTGGATTGTTCTGCTCGGAGTTGCCTAGTTTTGGAGATATCGGCTGTAGAATTGTTGGACTTCTCTCAAATATGATGGTAGTCAATGGCATTCTTTCTGTGGTGATTATAGTGGCAATACATTTGAAAAATTGAACAGCAATATGTCTTACTCGAAATCCTGACCCAGTTAATTCACAGACTCCACACACCAATCATATCACTGCGCAGAAGACATTTCTGGGTTGTTTGTGATCATATCTTCTGCACAGTGATATGATTGGTGTGTGGAGTTTGGTAGAAGGAAATGATTTGTACATTAAACTTCTCACTACAAAGTCCATGGATTATCTTCAATAACCAGTTCATGATTTTTGGTAAGAGACATTGCTGGTGAATGCATATTTCTGGCACTTTATTCACCACAGAAAGAATGCCATTTGGTCCCATTATATTCGAGAGTTTGACCAAAGTGTAAAGGAAAAGCGTCCAAGGAATGCTCAACATACAGTATATGTGGGACCTCCTTCAGGACAGCTGGAAAATCAATCCAAGAGACAACCTCATGAATCAGATGTAGAAGAGAC